TCTTCAATTCAATGAAACTGTTTGTACAAAATATGGTTTTCAAGAAGCTAATAGAATAGGCGTTGGAAAATCATGTTCAGCATGGGATAAAGCACTTTATTATTTTTCCAAAGTTTCAACTCATTATTTATTTGTTTGGTTTATTGAGGACGATGTTTTTATCCCCTCTGTTCAAGCATTTCTATCGCTACATGAAGTTTATTCTCCATCTAACGATATGGTTACTGCTGCTCTTTCGTACAATAGAGATGGAAATATAAATATTTGGCATTGGCGAAAATTATCTACAGCATTTGCTCCTCCATGGGCTAACGGTATGGTATGTGCTATAGGCTGCAGTCGTCGATTACTATCAGCTATTGATGAATATGCACGATGGCGAGGTCAATTAACATTTATTGAAAATCTATTTCATACATTAGCTATTCAAGATGGTAATATGAAATTTGTCACACCATTTGAACTAAATACAATAGTCTATCGAGATACATATACATTAGAACAGATACAAAGGCGGCCAAATAATTGGTGGCATCCAGTCAAAAACTTTTCTCTACACAGAGAATGGCGAAACAAGTAAGATATATGTTTGTCATATTCTCATTATGGAGAAATTAGAACTTAAAATTACATCACTTAAATTTTTTATTGTCATATTTCTATTTACATAGAGTAATTCAAAATTCTTCTGTCAATATAAATAATAGTATTAGAAAATTCTATTCGACATTACAACAGTTACAAACTATTGATGCTAAAAATTCCAGTATTGATTTTATGCAACATATAGCCAATCTTGGTGTTGAAATTGAAATCGTCAAAGGTCATATCAAATCATTCGATCGATATCAACTTCGAAAGCAATTTCTTCAACTAGCTCAAAATCTATCAAAGAATCTAGCGGATTTATTTACAGTACTAGCTGATCATGCATTTAAATTACCAGAACGTATATTTTTCTTTTTTTTGTTTTGTACAAAATATAGTTTAATATAATTTTTCTTTTCAATAGCTCAAATCAACATAAACATCACAGAAAATAAAACAGTAGCATATATGATGCTAGAAAAAGCAATCGAAATCAATAAACAAATGATTCTTGAATTAACAACAAACAGAAGTTTAAGTGCAGATGAAATGGTAGAAATTACTGAGTTACGTGTTGATGCAATCCGATTAATAGTTAAACTTTCTCGCCAGATCCGTTGTGAACTACAAGTTATATCATACGGTTCGATGATAGAGTGTATGTTAATATCTATTCTATATTTACAATCAACTTTAATTTTTCTCCTAGGGATATATGCAAATATTCAACTTAATCAATATTCTCAAACAAGATTCTATCAGTATTGCTTCATATTGATCACAGTTGTCTTATGTGTATTATTGATATGCTATAAAATGACGAAGAAAAAATATTGACATTGACAACAACACATTACTTGACATTAATAGAATTTTTTTTTCTTTCGTATTGCTATTTGTTTTTCACGTGTTGCCTATTGAAAATAAAAAAAATAGTTAAAGAAAAGTAACTGTAAGTATAAAACGTATCAAACATTCATTTTTTCTTCTTTCTAATCGATCAAAACAAAAAAAAATAGTTTCATTATTCATTTAATGAAAAATAAAATCTATAGCCATGACGATGATTCTTAGTGAGTATTAATCTGAGTGATGAATATCATTGATATATTTTACATTCATCTTTTAGCACCAAGTTCACAACAATTTACTAGTCAATTGAACGATATTGAGAAACAGAATGAGAAAATTAGACAAAAACTTAATCAATCAAATACTGAAAAGAATTTATCGAATCAAATCAATCAATGGGAAAGAGAATCTATAGGAAAGATTCAAACAGCTGCTAAAAAAGCTCGAACTGAAGTACAACAATTAAATAAAGAAACAAATATTCGAATAAATAATATATTAAATAAGATTACAAATGAACTCCGCTCGAAACGAAAAGCTAATAATTGTACAGAACGTGATATTGAGAATTTAAATAATCTTCTACAAACTTGTACGGATCAATGGAAACAATTGAATGAACTTAATATAGCCAAAAATGATTTATCATCACATGATTTGATCAAAATGGATAAGACGACACATGCGAGTGAAAAAGAAACGGTTCCTTCTTTACCAATTGAACCTGGATTTTTTACAGATAGAACAAATGAAAGCATCGAAACCTTTACAGCACGATCAAAAACTGCTGTTGTCTCTGAGGATAAGAAACAATCTAGTCGCACACCTATAATATCAGAACTTCAATCATATCCATATCCTAGTATCCATTTTAATGTTGATTTTTCAAGTGAGAAAAATATTGGAGAACTATTCGAACGTCTTCGGCATCTTCCTGAAATGGATAAAACTGGACCGATGAGTGGTAATTGCGATGCCGAAACTACTCAAATGGAAAAATTTCTTTCGCAAACATTTGGCTTTAGAAATATTCCTAATGAATACATCGTTCATGACGTTAAATCCTTTCGATTAACCAAGCCTCCATATGGTATGCATCCGAACATAGTAATTAAATTTCCAGACGATGTTAGAAATGCATTCCCAATGACTATACAAGAAATTCTCGATTGGCAAAGATCCTATAAAGTCTATGCAGATAAAACAGTTCCAGGTATGACTCTACAATTTCTTCATGGTGCCCTACAAGGAATGAGTAAGTCTGGTGATGAAGCGTTTCGTATGAAATTTGTTGTTCGTGTTTCACAATGTCCTATCCTGATGGATTGTAATGCTCGTATTATACCACGTGAACTTCGACATCAATGGCCTTCTCGAATTAAACTTGTCTCAGTTGCAGGAATTGATTTTGCTGGTCGTATACATGATGTTAATGATATTACTACCTATGTTACTAATTGGAAAAATATTTATGAAACCGATCCAAAATTAGGCAACCCTATCGTCGTCACTAATGGAAGAGATTTACAGAAAAAACGTAGGGCTGCTCGAGGTGAACTTGATGAAGATCGTCTTCTTAACGATTTGATACAAATGGCAAGACTTCGACTATATGCATGTGACAAAGAAAAAGTACAAATTGTAGTTGAAACTGGTATTGGACTTGGTGTATTTGCTGGAAAAAGTATTGGAATCGATGGAATAGTACGAGCACTTTCTGCAAAGGCTATTCGTAAAGTACTGGAGCAAGAAGGACCAAATTATGAACATATTCGTGGAGTTGTATTTGCTCTACCTATATTCGATAAGGACATAAAAAATGATCAAAGAAACGATGTTTATCAAGCATTTGTTGATGAATTTGATAAAAAGAAATATAATGGTTGTATTCCTGTAATGATTGCTGATCAAGATATGCATCGATTAGCTATTGCTATTGCATATGAAGGCTTTACTGTTTCTGAACTGAATCCAGCTGATTCACATGGTGTATTTGGTGAATATTGGCAAAATCGTGGACCAGCTGTAGAAGAAAAACTAGCTTTAACTACATTAGGTCTACTTGTTCAACATCATCTCATTAATCCATGTGTCCTAGATCCAAAACACTATCGTTTCGTACAACCGAAGACATAACAAGTGATCGAGTGCTGATATGATAGGAATAACTATGATTCTACAAAGTACACTAATGATTTAAGAGATTATAATTCTAGTAATTGTTTTATTTAAAATAATAAATTGTATCTTTTATTTGCTCAAATGATAATATATCGTTCTCTTCATATTTATTTCTGGAATTCGTGATTTTTTCTTAACTATTGTTGAGGACCATGTCTACGACAAGGAAAGTAATGAACTTGATTTGCTGCTCTTCTTAATATTTTATTGAAATAATCCAATACTTTTCTTAAATATGCCAACTAATATTAGAAATTAGCAGCAAGAATATGAAGTTTCAATAATCTAAAAGATTTGATAGATACTATATGAAAGAAACAATTTCGTTCTTTTTCATTCATATAAGATTTTTGTATACAATGAAAAGTGTATTGAAATGAACACAATATGTAAACTATACTTTTATCTAACTGTTAAAGCTTATGTGATCAAAAATAATCAGTTATAGAGATCTAGAATGTTCTTTGAAGAGACACTTGGATTTTAAGAGTTAATTACAAAGAGTAACTAGAGATAGCAACAATTCAAATTCATTATATCAGCTGGAAATTCATATTAATATTTTTTAGATTAATGGAAATAGATTGCATCGCTCGGAATATATATTTACTCTTCGTCTATTTATGAATTAAAACTGTAATCATCAAATTACTTGCCATCTTTTCCATTTCTTTCTTTGATTACAAAATGTTGCTTATGTATTCGTTTTCATTCTATTGCTCTCTTCCTCACAACATAACAGGTGAGTCATACACAATTTATCACGTTCTTTTTAGTCATATGTAATTACATTCAGTTTGATATACTCCGTTACTCTGCACTATAACAGAAATTTGTATTTTTCTTTTCTCATATCATATATTATAGTACAGTAGTAAGATATTTCACAAGATAACAACTATTAAAGAAATTATCCACATATATATGTTGTTTTCTTTCTTTCGTTGGTGTAACATTTCATGGTTTTATTTTTGAATGTATACTTCTGATATATCTGATACAATTTTCTTTAATATGCTGTAAAAATAATTACGATTTCGATTTCTATCGGAATCTATTTAAGTTTATAAATAAACTTCCTATATAATATATTTTGCCTATTATAATGAAATGCATAATTTTCGTTTTTCGTGGAATTCAAGCAAAAAGTGTGCCTAAACATCGACGATCGATGTTGGTTATGTCTGTTTTCTTTTCTTTGAATATTTGTCCTTTATTCGTCAAGCGTGTTGTCTGCTTTCATATTAAAGACGCATGTAAAATTAACTAAGCAAAGAAGGACTAATAGAATATTCGTCTATTTTTTTTTTTCTTTCTCGAATACTTTTACATCGCTGCAACTTGTTCATTTTCTTATCGAGCAAACGAAAGACAAAAAAAACAGACGTTGATTTTTCTTTCGAAAGTCTTTCGCTGAAATAATATGCACACAAACAGATGTAAGTAGAATTGTATAAAATATAATACCAACTATGAACATTGTTGCTTATAATCTTTATAATTTTCTAGCCAACAAGCCAGAACAACGTCATAATGTAATTACTAGAAATCCAAAACAACGTCATGATTTAAATAATCAGAATTTAGATCGATATAAAACTATACAACAAGAAATTAAACAACAAATCATCGCGAGAAAATTATTTGACGAAATTACACAATGGGAACAAGAATCAATTGCGAAGATAAAATCTGCTGCTGAAAAAGCTAAAATTGATTGGAAACGCATTTGTGGACAACCGTATCAAAAGGCAGACCATTTATTAAAGAAATTATCAAATTCACTTCGAAACAATCGCCACTATGATATTTGTACATCTGATGTTATTAAGTCGGATAAGAGAATACTTGACGATGGTCAAAATGAATTATTGAAACTACGTGAACTAAAAATAGCTAAGACTGATCTCTCATCTATTCATTTAATCAAACTTGAAAATGATGACGTGACTGAAACTCTAACAAATACTTCATTTTTACATAATCCGATTCAATTTGAAAAAACAACATCAGAAAATAGTGTTGCTTCAAAACTAATGGGCTCATCAACTGACATACCTTTAATTTTACAATCTCAAATCGATCCATATCCAAGTACTTTATTAATTACTCCTTCTCTTAAATATCAAGATGTTCGAAAGCTATTCGATTATCTTAGATCTCTATCTCCAATGCAGAAATATGGACCACTGAGTGGTGATTGTGATGTTGAAACTACTCAAATGGAAAGATTTCTTTCGCAATCATTTGACTTCAGAAATATTCCTAATGAATACATTGTTCATGGTGTCAAATCCTTTCGACTCGGCAAACCGTTAAGAAAACTAACCCCACGAGATATTATTTTTTTTCCAAATCCGACAAGAAAGTCTTTTGTAATGACCGTTCAAGAGATTCTTGGTTGGCAACATTCATTTAAAGTCTATGCAGACCAAAGCGTCAAAGGTATGAATAGCGACTTTCTTTGCAAAGCTCTTCAAGGACTAAGTGAATCTGGTGAAGAAGCATCTCGTATGAAATTTGTTGTTCGCATTTCACAATGTCCTATTTTGATGGAATTCGATGCTCGTCTTATTACTCGAGAACTAAAAGATCAGTGGCCTTCTCGAATCAAGCTTGTTTCAGTTACTGGGATTGATTTTGCTGGTCGAATACATGATGTTAATGATATTACTACCTATGTTACTAATTGGAAAGACGTTTATGAAATCGATCCAAAAACAGGTTTACCTTTTGTCTATAATGGAAGAGATTTCCAGAGGAAACGTGGAGCTTCTCAAGCTGAACTTCATACAGATCGTCTTCTCAAAGATTTAATACGAATGGCAAGACTTCGACTATATGCATGCGACAAAGAAAAAGTGCAAATTGTAGTCGAAACTGGTATTGGACTAGGTGTATTTGCTGGCAAAAGTATTGGAATCGATGGAATAGTACGGGCACTCTCCGCAAAAGCTATTCGAACAGTACTTGAACAAGAAGGACCAAATTATGAACATATTCGTGGAATTGTGTTTGCTTTACCTATATTTGATAGTGACTTACGGATTGGTCGAAGAGAAGATGTTTATCAAGCATTCGTTGATGAATTTGATCGGAGCAAATATAATGGTTGTATTCCTGTACTGATCGCTGATCAAGATATGCATCGATTAACAGTTGTTATTGCACATGGAGGTTTTAATGTTTCTGAACTGAATCCTGCAGATTCACATGGTGTATTTGGTGAATATTGGCAAAATCGTGGACCAGCTGTAGAAGAAAAACTAGCTATAACTACATTAGGTCTACTTGTTCAACATCATCTTATTAATCCATATGTCCTTGATCCAAAACATTATCGTTTCGTATAATTAAAAACATAGCAAGTGGTTGTATGCTTAGATAATATAAACAATTACAATTCTACAACGTGCGTGGATAACTTTAAACTTTATAGTTCCAATTATTATTTCATATAAGATATTAACTTGTACTCTTCTTCAAGCGTTTCTATTATGTTCGAAGCCAAACGTAAAGAATTTAGCTAAATAGAAGAAGAGCTAATTGTACATTGAAATTATTTTTAAAGAAAACAAATATTTTGTGACTTCAATACAAGTGAATGTAGATTCATATTCAAAAGCTAGGTATTATCATCATTATGATACTGATTTTGTCAATATAAAGTTTTCTTTTAGTGTTTTAATCATAAAAATAACTTCGAATACAAAAAAAAAGACTGAAGACAAAGTATGGGAACATAAAGACTGAAGAAGGGTTTTCCTAGGAGACTATATAAAAAAGAAAAAGTTCGAACAGAATTATTAACACATTGCAATGATAAGTCCACAATCGGTGACGAAGATTATTTCTCTGTATTTAATGCTCCAATAAATTCTTCTAATTTTTCTTGAACTTGTCGAACACGTTCTAAAACAAATCAAACAGTTTTTATTTTTAAAGAACTAAAAAAAATTACTTAATTCCTCCGCTAAATCAACTCGTTTTCCTTTGAGTAAATTTGCTTTTAATTTTTCATCACCACTAAAATCATCTAAAATTTCCTTGACTTCTCGTTCAAGTCGTCGAGCTAAAAATCACAATATTTATTTCTTTTCATTCAAAAAATATTACAAACTTTCAATATTTGATATTTGTTGTCTAATTGCATTACTTGTTATTTCAATCATACGTTTTAAACGCCAAAAAAATACAACTTCATGACAATCAAGCTATAAACAAACAATTTTATTTCATTAGAATAATCGGTCATGTCAAGTAATCCGGAAAAATTTTACTCGAAGTTTATTAATGATAGAGGACATGACAAGTAAAAGGTGTAAGAATATTAGAGACAATCGGATGAGCTTATTTTTTTTAAAGGTACCATCTTGAGGGTGCGGGTGTGTGTGGGTGAGTGGGTGGGTGGGTGAGTGGGTGGGTGGGTGAGTGGGTGGGTGGGTGAGGGCGAGTGTAGACGTGGATGTATAGGTATGTACTACTCTTCTTCCACACCAAAAAACCTTTCAAGGCGATTTATTTCTTTTCCGGATTACTTGACATATTCGGATAATCAATATGTACTTACACCTTGATCTGAAAAACCTTTTTGATAATAATAAAAAAATCGACGACAATCCATACATGTTGTTAAATTTTGTTTAAGAAAATATATTTTATATACACGTTGCCATGTATCATTTATCTAGGAAAAGAAAATTTTTAAAATAATTATTCATAAGAATAAATATATATGAACATACAAAATGATTGGATACATCAATTTTTTGTGATTGAAGATTTTTCTTTACAGTTGTTAATTCATCTTGATCAAGAGTAGAACGAAGCTAAAAAATTAGATCCAATATATTTTCTAATCAATCTTTGTGATAGATGGAAGAGAGAGAAAATTCAATGTGACCTCTAAACTCTATTAAATATTGTTTATAAAGAAGCAAAACTACATACTGTTAGATTATGTTTCGTTGTTTGATCTAGTTGTTTTCTGCTCATTAAAACTCTATCTAATTCTTTAGCACATTGTTGTCGATATTTTTCTTCGATAGTTGATCTTTGAAGGCCAATATATTTTTTCCATGAATTTTGATTTGTATTTGATATTAATTCTGCTTCTTCACGTTCTAATTCTTTTCGTAAAGCATTTTCCATAAATTTTGTAGCTGATTCCCATTGTTGTTTATCAGGTACATTACGATCTTGTAATGCTTGAGTTTGAATAACTCTCTATTAACAATAAAAAACAAAATTCTACAAATAAAATAAGAAAAATGTCGTTTTTTATTACAAGTGAATCAAGTGCTTTTGCATCCCATACATGTCTTGAACGACATGCTTGAACAACTTGCATTTTTAAATCATTTGTAATTGGATCATATGAACGACTTTTTTGATCACGCTCAATTAAACCTTGAAATTCATCTAATAATACAAGATGACCAATATGAATACATTGTCGTGGTAATTCTTTTTCTGTCCATTGTTGTAATTTAACATCAACTGTTGTATTAAAAGCACTAGATTAATATAAAATAATAATAGATTATTTCTATTAAATTTTTGTTTAGAAAAAAAAAATTACCCGATTGATCCTGCTTGAGCAGCAGTAGAAAAAACATCATTAAAAATAAAATCCGACATTGTTGACCAGAGATGTTTTGATAAATTTTCTTCCCTTAAAAAACAATTGATATTCACAAAATATTCGTTTTTTAATAAATTACCATTGTCGACTAGGTATTTGACTTAGAGTAACAACTTCATCAAGTATTTCACCACGAGCTTTTTCAAATAATTCATCCTAGATAAAAAATAAAATCCAATGTATGTAAGTTAATTGAAAGAACAAACCCGATCTTGTTCCCGTGTTTTTGGAAAACTATTTTTCCATTCAGTTTCTAAATTAAATCTTGTTGCTTTAAATGTATCAGATTGTTGTTCAACACTTTCTTTAACCATTTTCCAAAAACAATCGCTAACAGCAAAACTTAAATTACGTGTTGTTGTTTGTGTTGCTTTAAAAACTCCATCTCTTTATATACAAAACAAATTTATTCAAAAAAAAAAAACAAAATAAGATTTTATACCGAAATAATTTTGACTTTCGAAAAAATTCTTCTTCATATTTTTGAATCGATTCTATTGGATCATCAGCACTTCCTAAAGAGAAAAATATGCTATCATCATAGTTGTGTTAATTCAAAAAATGTGCGAAGTGTGGTAGTTATTTATACGGGATTCTCGAAATTCGCCAGTGTCATTCTATATGTATAAAAATAGCTCCTGCTAACTATACCCAGGGTTCTCGATTGTTTTCAAAAGTGCGGGGGGATAAAATTTACCAGAGAGTGCCGTCATATAGCTTTCGAACCCATATAGCGTAGAAAATACTTAAGCTATACACTTTCTGCGGAATTTTGCCCGAAAAAAGTATCTTTATTGGAGTTTCTGGCGGGAAAATGGTGGAAATAGCATAAAAACCAGGTTTTTGATCAAGTTTTCAGCAAAAGTTTTAAAATTTTGGCAGAAAGTCAGACAGCTTTTCGAATTTTGCGAGGGGTTAAACCCACCAAGCCCCCCCCCCCCCCCTAATCGGAGTCCCTGACTATACTGATGGGTTTAGACTATAATATATTTATTCCAATAATATTAGATTAATTTGCCACATGCATTTTACACTAATCTTGTGCTATCACCGTTGGCGAAGAGACAGTGAGCCTATTAAAACTTTTAAGTGAACAATTTGTATCAGAGATTAAAATAAAATCCGATAGTTCGAATAGCAAAAGACAAAACTGTAAGATTCTTCTCATCCCTGATATTTTTTATCGGTGATGATTATTTACAAATGGTTTCGATTCCTAACTAAATTCTTTCACATCAAGTATTATCGAATGTTCATTATTAAAATATTGAGATATGTAAAATTCTAACCTTTGCCAGTAACAACTGCAAAATATCCTAAGGCTTTCATTGGAAATAATTTCCCATCGAGGATTTTTTTGATCTAAATAATAAAATAATTGAATAAAAATTTCGAAATATATCTATTTTTACTAACCCGATCAGTATCATGTAGATTAGCTTCGGCTAAATCGACTTTAGTTAGAACGAAAATAGTTCTTTTACCATATGGATCCATTTTTGAAACAAGTTCTGTTACATTACTACGTTCGGCATCAACGCTTCCATCTTCAAAAAAGAGTACATATGCACATTGGTTCCTACTCAATTTAGAATATTAACCTTGAATACAAAGAATAATAGCATTCGGATTTGACATATAACTATTCGCTAAACGAGTAATTGAATTTTTTGTATCTGATGCCATACCGAGTGTTTCGGTCTAAAGAAAACCAAAACTATTCGATTAATATAAAAGAACGAGATAAATAATTTACACTAATAATTCCAGGTAGATCAACTAATACCATACGTTGAAGACCAGGACCCTTGACTGATAATGAAATAACCTAAAAATTTGTTCATTCAATATTCAACGTTAGCAATTTTTTTAAAACTAACTTCATTACTAATTGTTTGACCTTCTTTGACTGATGCACGCATTCGAAGTTCAATTTCTTTTCTTAATGCAGCTAACTAAATTCAAGAATTCTATTTATTAATATCAAATTAATCACATATACATACATCTGCTTCTTTTGTTAAATCATATTCTTTCGCATTATCTTTAAAAACTGCAATATGATAAGGACCTTCACTTAATGTTACTTTTACTGGACTACGTGTCATCATTTCACCAGCACCTCTGAAAACATCTTAAATATTATAAATAAAACAATATAAACATTCACAAACCGAGGAAATATTCGTGCTTGTGTTATCATTTCAAGAACACTGGTTTTACCCGAACTTTGATCACCAATAACAATTACCTAAACAGAAAAATTTTATTCTACAGTACTATAAAATAACAAGGCTTTCATCTTTAATAGTATTCATTAATCTTATATACAGTAGGAATACCGAGAGTCTCGGTACATGTCTATATAAACATTCTTCTTATATGATTATTTTTATCTTAGTAAAAATATGTTATTTACTCGAGGTAAATGATCTTGAACATTATAATTCGTATCATATTCATTTAATTCATCTAATACTTCACTGTACATATCAATAAGTGATCTCTAAAAGAAATCGATGTATGAAAATATTAAATTAGAAGAAATAAATAAACTTTAATTTTTCGTTGTTTTTTTCCGCTTGTATTTCGATCTTGTTTTAATAAGAGTTGTTTTTTTAATGATTGTAATTCTTTTTCTAATCGATCAATTTCTCGTTGATATTTTATTTGTATAGTCATCATTTCTTGTTGAACTTTCTCTTGATTTCCATGTGCTTGATATTGTGCAGCCTAAATTTTTTCATTCAAACTTTATTATCAATAAATATTAAAACAAACTTTGCTTAGTTTTTCTCGTTCATCATTTGTTGTCGAAGTGTTTTGATAGGCTTTTGCCAAAGTAAAAAGATCTTCTAATATAAAAATAATAAATAAAAATAAAATCTATTGTTTTTACTTGAAGGTTTTTGTTTATAATCATCTAATGCAAATGATGGACCGGCAAATAATAATCCTTAAGATAAAACAAAATGTATGATTTCAGTTTAAATACAATATTTTACTTGAAGATGCTGTTATTAAAAGATAATCAGTGAATCTTTCGTGTAATTGTCTAATACGATCTTGTAAATTAGTCTAAATAGATAAATAGAATTAAATTAATAAGGAAAAACAAGAATTAGGTATCTTACGGAATTAGAAAGTGAAACGGAATTAATTAAATCAGATAAATGTTTTGTTAGTATATCAATATTTTGTTCAGGTATATATTCTTTCATCCATGATATATCAGGGAATTCTTTGTATTTCTATATAGATATTTATTTGAAAAAAAAAATGAATAATAAGAGAATATGATTTACTTTATGAACTACATAACTTCCACCAACAGTTGTACTAAGAATTAAATAACGAAGGCGAAGTAAAGAAGACATTTGACATCTAATAGAAACTAATAACTAGAAAATCTAGGATTGTCTAATGAAAGATCGATATGTATTGCATTAGAAAAGGAAAAATAATATAGTTGGATCATATATTTAAACCAATTGATTTATCGTGAATTGACAAGAACGCCATCTATCATTAGTAGAAAATTGTATATTTCTATAATTGAACTACGCTACAAGTTCAAATTATAATTTTAATGAGGAATGAATCAACGTTCGTACGACGATAGTTGAATACCAATATGCATAACTAAAAGAAACGAGAAGTGTATAAGACACTGAACGTAGTAATCAACGACAGGAAAACAAATTGTTTTTTTTTAAACTAAATTGTAAATATCTGAATTACAGTTGTAATGGATTGCCATAGAACACCATATGAAATCAGATGCATTCATCAACGTTGTTTAAATAAAACAATATGACATCCAGTGGCGGATTTAGGGAGGGGAGGAGCGACTGTCCTCATCGCCTCCTCCCTTCAGAAAACTTTTTTGGCTTTTTACAGCAAAAATCAACGAAAACATAGGTTCACACTACTTCGATTGGACTCAAAAAATAGTTTTCAGTCGACATCGGCCCCCTACTCAGGTATCGTCCTTACCTTCCAAAATCCTAGATGCGCCACTAATGACATCTAAATATATCACAGCGTGATTTTTTTTAAATCATGTAGTACTACAGTATTTATACGTGGAAGATTTCGTTTCTTATCTATATCATAACGGAGTGCACGATCAGTTAACTTCAGTTATTCGTTTTTTGTTATGATAACAATACTTTTATAACAGCCATAAATTAATTATGAACTTTTGTGCAGTTCAATAGAGCGATTCTTAATTAAAATGATTTCTGTCTGTGATAAATACTTTCTTACAATACTTCTTTTTAATACTGCAATCACTTTGATGTAAAAATAAGTGCAATGTTTGTTTTTGGCTTGTCTCTATTGTATATCGTTTGTCTGTTATATACTACGGGTCAATACATCATATGTTTGATGTGGTAGATGAAGAATTAACTGAGGATAAGTAACCAATATTTGGAAATTATCGTTCGTTTGATAGTAAATGATGGGTAAACATCTCTGTATTTACTTTGAGAGACAAAATTAAGAAAATGAAACTATCTCATTAATTGCAGACAAATCTGTCAAAAATATTATCATATTTTAAGATTCATTAATGTCGAACAAAAAAAAACCCAGACAAAAATAAAGTATGTTAATATGTACTTGTTCATATATATAATTACATGTCATATTGAGTATTACAATATTGTTCAACTAGATATTTGATATTACCTTAGACTAATTGTATTTCATGTATATAATTATTGCGAAGATATCATGAATAAGAAGAAGATTCAGTTGTATTTGATAAATGTTAATCCCTCTTTACACGATCTATCACTTATTAAACTTATATTTAGTATTTTTCGAATAGGCGGAGAATAAAACAGATATACTTAAAACATAGATCAATGGATGAATTTAGTCATAGAGTTTACATCAATGTACAGCTATTAATACATTATTCGGTTTAGTGCATTACTTTTGATTTCCTCTTTCTTTTGTATATACAAGCATATTGTATGGTTGAATACGTGTTAGTCTACGTCTTTTATGAAACAGATGAGCATAGATTAAAAGAATAAGTGTTCATTGTTGTCTTTTTCCTTTTCTTTCTTTCTTTTATTGATTGTTCTTACTGATAAAACAGACGTTTGTATCTATTCTAATATAATAGAAGAAAATTTCAAATAAATTTAATATTACCGTTGTATGTCCAAACCAAATAAACAAATTATTTGGTTTACCTTTGTAAGTGAATATAAATTTTATTTATGTATACTACAGAAATTGACTAATTGAACTTTAAATTTCAGCATAAAATATACATTCAGGCATACCATATAATCAAATTTATAAATTAATACATTAGTGTAGTACTAGTAGAAATTATAATTTAAAGAAAAGAGACTAACGAAATCAATTCTGTCAGTGAAATGCTATACAAGAAAAAATATATATATTTCTATATTTTAGTCTCGAAGTAACTGTACTAAAATATCTCATTATTCATCCAAAAATAAAAAATGAATTTTGATAATCTAAACTGACTTAGACCATGTGAAAATCAAAATAAACTCATTTTAAATCACAAATCGCTTTTTCTTCCCTTGTATTATAAGCTAATTATTATCAGATCAAATCTCTTCGAGATAGACGCGATTACACAGCTCTGTCTATTCATAATTAGATCTATATCATTCTCTAAATAAATACTAATACGATCTACTGTGATATACGACACATACAGCGAAATATTTTTCTTGTCTCTTATGCGCTAAAAGGAAAAATTATTAGTTAATAGAAATTATTCTTCTTCTAAAAAATCAAATATAATTATTTTTTTTTCTATTCGGTTATTTCTCTTAATATTTAAGTAATTCGAATTTGTTGCATGATACTTTCTTTCGTAGGATATTTTCTTTTTGCAAGATAAAACATCAGTTATATTTTTGTAACATACTGATATTATAGTATTAAATACAAATATTTTGACAAGAAGAATTCAAAGATATATCTTGGTATTTTTTATGCAAAAGAGAACTGTAATATAGATATAGTTGATATTGTACAATCTATGGTGATAAATTAAAGAAGTAAGAGTACATTTCATTGATATATATGTTTTCTACGTATTTTTTTCTTCTTCTAAAGTGCACATTGATGAAAATATTTGATTTTAATATTAGTAATCAGATGAGATAAGAAAGAAAGAAAAAAAATCTCACGTTTCTGTTTAATATCATCATATAAAAAATAATCATTTTTTATTGTCATCAAATATCATTCATCAATGTTTGCAGCTGATCTATCCCATACCTTTACTTATTTATCTTATAGATATATTAATATTACATAGAATAAGAACATAACAAATTTGATTAACAGATATATTAACGTTCATTATGTCAATGTCACCAGACATCTGTTTTGTATTCCCGTATTCGTCATTCATTATGATCATAAGAGATACCATCTTTAAGTGGCTGATGTGTTTTTTTGATACTTATCAAAAAGCGTTTAATTACCATCACATCGAAATATGTGTTTAAAAAAATCATTACTAAGATTTTTCGTCTTTTTTTCTTCTTCTCTTATTTAAAATCTATCTTAAGAATTTAGTTTCTTTCTCTGCCTTTTTGTCTCTCTCTCTCTCTATATTGATTTTGAACATCGAACTATATAATTTAACATTTTGTCCTTGTAGATATCTGAATTTTGTCAATTAGTTTCTACGCTTGTATTTGTCATTATCAAGATAAGAAAAACTTCTCTCCTCATTACATCTTTGTATTCTCTGCTTTTACGGTCTATTATCAACAAAAATTTGAGCTGCTCATTTGATTTAGTGTGAAATTATCTTTTTTTTCTTTTAGTAGTACACCTTCCTTACTTTCTATATAAAATATTTTCAACTTTAATTCAACCGTAAGTAAATATTATTCTTAATAAATCAGACTTTTCTCTATCTATCAATCGATCTATGTTGATGCATCTATTTATTAATCAATTATTTATTGTAAAACACAAGAAAAAAAAGAAATTTATTAAGAAGAAAATATTTACTGTTGTCATTCAATTGAAGGACTTTCTATCTTACGAGCAATTATTGAGTTAATGATCGATAACTAAGAAGAATTAGAAGAAGAAGAAGAAAAAGACGGATGGCAAATATCACAGTGGCATTCCCTTATTGTATCTCTTAGATCATTATAATAATAATAAGAGAATAGTAAAAGATATAGACATTCATTTTCTTTCTATCGAATGACAATAGAATATACTAAGGAAAAGAAATAGAATATGTAAGTATTGATATATGATTAAAATATACAAAGAAAAGTGTACCTTTTCTTAAATAATATCGGTACGTGTTTCAGGTCTGAGTATGTTGATGCCGAAGAAATCAACA